TGTTAAGTTAACCCTACATTATCGTCCGCACATTGTTTTATTGGAAATTGATTAGAACGATATTTAGAAGCGACTTCTTTACCTTGCAATACTCAACTAGTATATATGGAAGTTATTAAATTTTATTTTATTAAAATATTCGGTCAGCAAGAAAAAATCAGCTAAAAATAATTGTATAATATGTTTTTGTCAGCCGTAAGAAAAATACCGGCAATACCTGATCAGCAACCAAATTAAGGATTATCCGAAAATAAGCAGATATTTGCTCAGGTTTATAATATTCCAGGAGCAATATATATATATATATATATATATATATATATATATATATATATATATACATATATCAAGTCCACCACCTTTTGACGTCCGCATATCGGATCTGCTATTATTTATTCAACAGTTTGTATGTAAGTACTTGTTGTAATGTTTCTTTTTACTTACTGACCTCAGAGATCAGGGTTTGGCTAAGAAAAGAAACAAATATGCACAATATTCAGTGTAAAAAATTAATAAGCAACATAAGGGCATAACAGAACAATTGACTAAATAATTGAAAGTATTAAACTACAATCATCTTAACACAAAAATATGTAAGCACTTAAAAAATAAAATTGCTAGAAAATTAAAATGACACTATGACAATTGATATTTGTTAGGTTTTGCTAAGTGATGGCGAAGCTAAATTCATGGAAACAAAAAATAAAATAAAAAAAAACATTAAATAAATACTAATATTTTGTTAATAAAAATATAAAATGATTATAACAAAAATATAAACTTTCCTATTTAGTTAGAGATTTGAACCATGAACTTGTAGTTTAATTGCACGATGTACTCGTATATATCCGTTTATTTATTTATTATATGGACAACAAAACAGATAACAATCAAAATACATTACAATATAATATAAATATAATAGTTTTGTGCCACATTGTTATCCTAAATATGTTGACACATCATTTTTATATGAAATAAAGGAGATCAACTCTACGCTTTGCAATGTTTATGACATACATAATTACAGTAAACAAAAAATAAAAATATACAAATAAGAAACTTAAAACCTATGTGATATGGGAATGAGTGTGCATAAGTGTATACTGTTTCACTGCTCTTTTGAATATCCTGGATCTTGGGTCAAAAACATCCATGCCGGAGCTTTTCATGGATATCTCATTGTAAAGTCGACACATTCTTACTATCGGGTTATAAAAGGAAGTATTATTCTTATAAGTCTGCAGGTAAAATGTCTTGCTAGGAATTCGGGGATTGCGCTTTGTAGTTAAGTTTAATTTACTTAAGAGGTAATCGGAATCAATCTTATTATGGAGAATTTTATGTGAATATATAAGGTCATATTCCTTACAACGAATAAGTAAGGTGGTCAGTTTTGCCGATAGGCTAAACCTGTAACTGACGAATTAATTAAAATAAGGATTTAGTATCGTCTTTATTCGTCTTGGATGAACATATTGTCAGAGATGTAGGAAGGTGTTATTATTACAATCAACTTAATGGGCGTTTCCACAGACTGAAATAAATGCATAATTTCAAAATAAATTTTTTTGTTTGAATGCTAGCAACACCATTGACATTACTAAAATTAACCACTTCTAGTAATCTTAAAAAAGCTTGTGTTAAGAGTGTTTCACGAGAGTAGTCTAAAGGCGGATTAAAACCCACGAACTTTTGAGTTCGCGGTATACACCCCACCATTAGGCTACTCTCGCTTTTTGCAGTTACTCAGACTACAAAATAACGAATACGATTAAAACACTTACCCTATTGCACCTCTAATAATTATATGTTACACGAATATTAATTTTTTTTCGCGTGTCAGGCGTCTAAGCGGATGGAAGTATTTAAAAGTGTAATTATGTATTATTAATTTATTTACGTAAAAGAATCTCCCAAATGGGAATTAAATGCGCTGGGTGCGATACCCTTATTTACGATATTTTGTACATGAAGTGGTGGCAACAATTATGCAAGAAGCTTTATCATCTGAAGTGTCTTGCTATACAAGAAGAAAGTTTTGATACCCTCTCGCAGGAGTATACGTAAGGATACGTGGATCTGTCCGGAGTATGTATGTACAATTCCGAAGAAGGAAATTATCACGAACAAAACGTTTACAACTACCAATTTCGTAAATAGCGAACGTGGTGGTAATCGTATATATACCAAGTAAATAATGGTTTCTTCTTTTGATAATAAACTTCTTGACGAATCGAGGGAGTTTAGAAGAGAAATGAACATAAAACTCGATGAACAAAATAAGGAATATGCACTATTACAAGGTAAACTGATAAAAACAGAAAACGAGTCACACGTAGTAAAAACAAGAAGTCAGCAAAATAGAAGCATTAGAGACTAAAATTGAAGAACTAGGGAGAAAAAATATGGAATTAGAAGCCACGGCGTTAAAAAAAGGAATGTACTACCATCAAATAACCAGCAAATGTCACATAAAGAGCCATCTGTATCATTTGTTGATGCAGATAAAAAATACAAACCAATACAGATTACCGCGGCTGATAAGGTAAAGGAATGTAGGGCCATGAAACAGGCAAATGTTTAAGTTGCGAATCCAATAGGTCAAGGGATGAAATCATCAAAATCGATAGTGAAGGCAAAATCGAAGGAAATTTAAAGAGCGCAGAAAATTGGAAGGTTGCTACAAACAATAAAAAATAGAATAGATACTCCAACGTGAAGTAAACAAAGCGGGAATCTTTGAAATATTTTGAAATATGAATTTAATTCAGGGAACCGAACAGAAAAAATACCTTACATGTATGGCGTCTTAACAAAGACACCACAGAAACAAATTTAGAAAAATACGTTCAAAGCTTTTACGAAGAGGAAATACAAGTAAAAATAGAGAAAACAAGGCACAAGACAGAGAGAGAGAGAGAGAGAGAAAGAGAGAGGGAAAGAGAGATTACGCCTCCTACATTATTGGAATTCCGGAGGGTCATTATGATAAAATATGTAAACTTGAAAGTTGGCCCGTAAATATTGAATTTTGCGAATGGATTTGGTTTCGAAAATCATACCACAAACAACAACAAACATAAAAACATTACCATGAAAGGAACACGATCGATAGATTTATATTATAAAAATGTAAGAGGACTTAGAAAAATATTGAAGATTTTTATACTGGTATATCTTCGATGAAGGCTAACTTATTTGCAATAACGGTCTATTAAAGACGCCGAGTTAATTCCACCAAATAATACTATTCTTCGCTGTGATCGAGCGTATGGCCGCAAGCGGGGAGACGCGTGTCTTGTGGCCACACCGCAATTTGAACTACGGGGAGTTCTGGGACCGAGTGATGTTAACATAGAAGATCACATCTTTGAATTAGTATGTGCGTCTGTTTACTTAAAAAATCGTTTTTTGTTTTTATTGTGTGTATTTTATATTCCGTCTTGTAGTAAAGATAATGAGTATATGGTAATCTTCAGAATAATAGAAAATCTATGTGCTTGTTATAGAAAAATAAAGGTGATAGGCGACTTTAATCTTAATTCATGTTCGTCAAATTTAATAAATTATTTTGATTATTTTCTATCATTCTGTGGATTCTTTCAGAGTAACAAGGTGAGTAACTGTGACAATCGATTGTTGGACTTGGTGTTGAGTTCATTTGAGGATTAAGATTGTGTGAAAGTTCGAGCTTCAGAAACTAGTCTTGTAAGGGTGGATGAGTACCATCCTCCACAGGAAGTGACAGTGACTGTGTCCTCGCCAACCACCGGGAATCCGCCACGGACACCTACATTTCCTAATGATGTAGTAATGATGCAGGTACTTTACAATAAAATTTTTTCAAAACTGATTTTTATTAGTATATTCATCAATCATTAACATAGACTGGACACCAATTTATTCATTAGATTTAGAACATAGCTTAGATTATTTTTACAAGGAGATTATCTTAGTATTAGACAAATGCGTACCAAAAAGGAAAACAAAACGGGTGGGCTCAGGTCGGATATACCCTGAATGGTATACTAGGGATATTATTAATTCAATAAAATATAAATCTACGTTCCAATAAAAAAAATATAAGAAGACACGATTAGCCACCGACTATATAAAATTCGCTGAGTTGTGAACTACAGATAAAAATATGTTAGTAACTGCACATAACATATACTTGATTAACATAACGTACTTGAAGTCCTTCAGAAGCTCTTTAATTCCGTCCTCCATGGTGGCATTACAACGGAGGCGTGGACCAGAAGTGCGGTGGTCTTGTTCTTCAAGAAAGGTGACAACGCTCTCTTGAAGAACTATAGACCGATTTCCCTTCTGAGCCGCGTCTACGTGCTGTGTTCAAGAGTCATTACGAATCGTCTCGCGCGCAGACTTGACGAATTCCAGCCTCCCGAACAAGCCTCTTTCCGAAAGGGCTTTAGCACCATAGACCACAAACATATTTTTCCCGTCATCATTTCGTCATCGTCATCATTTTACCCGGGCGCTTGTTGAGAGAAGACGTGTTTCTGTAATTGTGGAAGAAAAAAATTGATAAATGGTGAAATATCTACAAAATTTTAGTATTGAGTTGTATCAGAGTGTTCAATAGATAAAAAGCTGACGAAGTGTTGTAAAACGGTAATTAAAAAGTGTCTGAATAAGTGCTAAAACTAAAAAGTAGTTTTGAAATCATCCATTGCTAACGGAAAAATTTAACTGTGAACAAAGGATTGGACTTTGTACTCATTATTATCTACTCATTGTTATTGAGAAGAAATCGTAAAAAGTTCATACGAATTAAAAATTTCGCAACTTATGATCAGTTACTTAGTGGTCTAGTGGCTTGCACATAGTTTAACGGCTAACACAACACTCGTTAGGGCGTAAGATCAAATCCCCGCATAAAGTTTTTTTTTTTTTTTGGTTTATTTTATTTTATTTTATTTTATTTTATTTTTTCTCTTTAATAATTACAACGTTTTAAAAATTGGTTATATACGATGTCGTCACAGAAGACTTGTGCCGGGTGTCATAATTCTCTGCCAAGGAGGGAGTATATGATTTGTGTCAAGTGTAAGCTTGGATACGATTTGCTTTGCGCAAACTTGACATCTAAACACTTCTATCAGATGGATGCAGAAAGTAGGAATAAATGGAACTGCCAACAATGTCGCAGTAAGCTACCAAAAACAGGTAATTCGAATACTCCTGTACGTATAACTAATCATCCCATTGCTTCTAAGGAAGATTCCATCCTGAGTCCTAGTGAGGAGAGTAATGTTACTACGAGAATAAAAAATAAATGTTCCAAGTCTGGTAACAGCGATTCTTGTGTAACTGAGGAGAGGTTGCGCATGATTATAAAACAGGAAATTACTGACACTATTAAATCTCTAGTATCCGAGCACCTAGCGAACTTAAACCTTCAAGTATCTGGGTTTCAAGAGTCCCTGTCATTTATAAGCAAACAATACGATGATCTTATGCAGTCTGTTAACGAGAAATCAGAAACAATCAATAGACTGGTTTCAAAGAACGAAAAATTAACAACACAGGTTAAAAACCTGACGGACAGACTGGGGCAGATAGAGCGAAATATGCGCGTTTGTAACGTGGAAATTACAGGTATTCCCGAACACAAGTCAGAGAACCTCCTGAGCACTGTTGAACAACTTGGTAGAATTGTCGAGAGTCCTATTGCTGAATCTGATATATTACATGTAACAAGAATTGCCAAATTAAACAAGGAGAGCAATCGTCCTCGTTCTGTCATCGTAAAGCTTCGCAGTCAGCGACACCGCGATGAATTATTGGCTGCAGTGACACGATTCAACAAAAAGAACAAGGATAATAAGCTCAACACCGAGCATCTTGGACTCGGAGGACGTCGCGAGCCCGTATTCGTATCTGAACACCTGACGCCCACAAATAAACATTTACATGCTGCAGCCCGAAAGAAAGCCAAGGAGGCTGGGTTCATGTTTGTGTGGATACGGGATGGAAGAATTCTTGCGAGGAAAAACGAACAAAGTCATGCTATTTATATTAAAGACGACGAAAGCTTAAAGTTATTGCTTTAAAATTAGCCAAGTAGTAGTCAATAGTAATTTTTGCCACAATGCCTGTAAATATTTATTATCAAAATGTGCGGGGCTTAAGAACTAAAACAGAGGATGTCTTTAAAAATATTCTGATTAATAACTACAACGTAATTGTATTTACTGAAACGTGGCTCAATAGCAATATAACGAACTTAGAAATTATAGATAAGCGTTATATTGTTTATAGGAGAGATCGATTGTGCTCAGAAACTACTAAAAAAGACGGAGGGGGGGTTTTAGTCGCTGTTTCTAGGGATATACCGTCTTTCAGACATTCAAGCTGGGAGAGCGATGCGGAGGATCTATGGGTCTCAATTGATATAAAAACAAATAACATTGTTACCAAAATACTAATTTGTGTGGTATACCTTCCTCCACCAGTAAACCTGGAAAGCCTTACTCGGTTTTTAGAGCATACTAACGATATTTTGGACAAAGCTGATCAAGTTATAATGTTGGGAGACTTCAACATGGGCTTCATTGGTTGGTCTCGCAGTGTGGACGGTGTTTCATGCAGTGCATTTAATTATGATTCACCACAGGGTCTGGCACTCACTGATTTCATGGCGCTAAATAATATTACACAAATGAACCCTATTCCTAACGAGGATGGCAGAGTGCTGGACCTTGTTCTAACCAACTGTGTTCCTTTAGAGGTTTCTAACTCCTTAAATGTTATAAGTAAAATTGACCGAAAGCATCCTCCGTTATTGATTACTGTACCGGAACTAAAACCGAACTTACTTAAACCAGCCCAAAAACCTCGACACAACTTTTTCAAAGCGAACTATGATCTAATCTTGGCTCATCTTAGGGAAATTAATTGGTCACAACAGTTCGATAGGTGTCAAAACGTTAACGAGATGACCACAGTATTTTACCGTATTTTAAACAATGCCGTGAAAACATACGTCCCTATTTTGAAGCCAAAAAAAAGCAGGTTCCCCTCATGGTTTAGCAGGTCTCTGATCAGAATAATCTTGGAAAAAGAAAGCAAGAGAAAAAAATTTGTGAAATACAAAAATCCACGCGATAGGTTGGAGTATGAATTACTTCGTGAGCGAAGTAAGAAAATAATAGACGCATGCCTACAAAGTTATAAAAAACGGGTCGAGGGTAATATTGTCAGGAATCCTAAATATTTCTGGAACTATATTAAGGATAGGCGAGGTGGTGAAACTACTATACCTGCCGAAATGAGCCTTGATGACGAAATTGCAAACACTGGTACAAAAATTGCAGAACTATTTGCTAAAAATTTTTCATCAGTGTTTAGTAACACAGTATTACCTGATAGCCTAGAGTCCGCAGTGCACGGTTTGCCATATTTGAGTGTAATTAGATTCAGTGAACATGAAATTAAACGTGCCATTAAAAAACTAGATATCTTCAAGGGTGCCGGTCCGGATGAGATCCCTCCTGTTTTTGTAAAGCGCTGCGGTCCTACTCTTACTCTGCCACTGTCACTTCTTTTCAATAGATCTTTGCATGACGGGGTATTTCCTGAATTGTGGAAAAAAGCTAAGATCGTTCCAGTGTACAAGAAGGGTGACAGCAGTGACATCAAAAACTACCGTCCTATATCCATACTTTCTTGTATACCTAAGCTGTTTGAATCCCTTGTTTGCCCAATTGTCACGCGCCACTTGGAAAGTCGGATGTCAGAATTTCAACATGGGTTTCGAAAAGGACGTTCTATCAAAACGAACTTGGTGTCATTTATGTCCTATCTAAGTAAAGAAATAGATAGACGCCAACAAGTAGACTGTATATACATGGATTTCTCGAGCGCTTTTGATAAGGTGTGTCACTCGCTTCTTATACATAAATTGAGCGGGTCTGGTATTGGTGGGACCTTACTGGAATGGTTTAATTCATACCTAGCAAAAAGACTTCAGTTTGTGGTGCTGAACGGTCACATATCACATGAGTATGTTGCATGTTCAGGAGTACCACAGGGATCCCACTTAGGCCCTGTTCTCTTCTCGGTGTTTATAAATGACATTACCTCATCTATAAATTACTGTAAATACTCACTTTTTGCCGATGATTTAAAAATATTCAAAACCGTTACTTCAAATAATGATGTGGAGCTCATCCAAGCTGATCTCGATGGAATAAATATGTGGTGCAAATTGAACGGCATGATTATTAATACGAAGAAATCTTACCACATTAAGTACACAAAGAAAAAAGTTCAATTGCCATCATCGTATAAATTAGAGCTAGATACGTTACAGGAGGTTAAGGAGATTCGAGATTTGGGCGTAACAATGGACACGAAATTGAAATTCAAAGTGCACATGGACAAAACTGTAAAAGAAGCGGCCAGGATGTTAGGTTTCCTTAAAAGAAATACCAAAGGATTTGTTTCTCCTCAAACCAAAATAATCCTTTATAACTCACTGGTTCGCAGCAAACTAGAATTTGCATCAGTTGTGTGGAGTCCCCAATACGCGGCACCATCTCAACGTCTGGAGAGACTACAAAGATCCTTTACTAGATACCTGACATATCACACTTCCGGCATCTCTCATAAGGCCACCTATGACTTGCGGCTGAAACACTTTAAAATGATGTCACTTTATAATCGCCGCATAATATTAGATATAACATTCCTAAAAAAGCTGTTGTCAGGACAGATGGCATGCAGTGAATTGCTTAATGAAATAAATTTCAAAATCCCGTACAGATATCCACGAAATCCTCTCACTAACATACTTGTTGTACCAGTAAGTAGAACAAATGCTCTAAAACATTCTCCATAATCAAGGATGTGTTCTGAGTACAATCGATTTTCCGCGTCCATTAAAGATTTTGATATTTTTCATGACTCAGTGACAAATCTGAAAAAAAAGCTTACCGCACATTTTTGTTGGTAAATTAGATTTGTAATTTAATATTTATGCTACTAAAATTCTTCTTTTTGTTATACTTTTGATTTTTGATTTTTGATTTTTACTTATTAATTTGCTGCAACTCAAAATTTGTAAATTGAAATTTATTTTGAACTTAAATTAATTTAATGTCTTCTAATGAGAGTGATGTATGCACCAGTAATTGGCATGCATACCAAACTATTTATAAGACGAAGATTATTGTAATGTTTTGTATGTTATGCTGTTGGTGTGTCAATAAATAAATAAATAAATAAATAAAAAACATACCCTTCGACAAATTGTACAGAAGTCCGAGGAGTACAATTTGCCACTATGTCTGACGTATGTGGACTATGAGAAAGCCTTTGATTCCGTCGAAATATGGGAGGTGCTGCAGTACCTTCAGTAGTGCCAAGTTGACTGTCGATATATCGAAGTGCTGAAGTGTTTGTACAGTTGAGCTACGATTGCTATCCGAGTACAGAACTAGAGTACGAAACCTATCCAACTGCAGAGAGGTGTAAGACAGGGTGATGTTATATCCCCGATAGTCTTCACCGCTGCATTGGAAGACGTTTTTAAGCTTCTGGACTGGAAAAGATACGGTATTAACATCAATGGCGAGTACATCACTCACCTTCGAAATGCCGACGATATAGTCCTTATGGCAGAATCGCTGGAGGACCTAAGCACCATGCGCATTGACTTCAATATTGTCTCCCAACGAACAGGTCTTAGGATGAACATGGATAAAACAAAGATCGTGTTTAATGTCCATGTCACTCCTTTGCCGGTAGTTATTGGGAGCACTAAGCTCAAAGTTGTTGACGAGTATGTTTACCTGGGACAAATATTCCGACTAGGTAAGTCCAATTTCGAACGAGAGGTCAATCGACGGATTCAACTCGGCTGGGCAGCGTTCAGGAAGCTACGACACATCTTCTCGTCAGACATACCTCAAAACCTTAAACCGAAATTGTACAACCAGTGCGTGTTGCCAGTGATGACTTACGGAAATGAGACGTGGTCCCTCACTGCTGGCCGTATGAGGAAGCTCAAGGTCGCTCAGCGAGCTATGGAGAGGGCTATGCTCGGAGTTTCTCTGCGTGATAAACTTAGAAATGAGTATATCCGCAGTAGAACCAGAGTAACTGACATAGCCCAACGGATTAATAAGCTGAAGTGGCAGTGGGCCGGTCATATAGCTCGCAGAACCGACAACCGATGGGGAAGAAAGGTTCTCGAGTGGCAGCCTCGTACCGGTAGGCGAAGTGTAGGGCGACCCCCCACAAGATGGAGTGATGACCTGGTAAGACATGCAGGAAGTCGATGGATGCAGGTGGCTCAAGACCGTGCTTTGTGGCATTGCTTGGGGGAGGCCTATGTTCAGCAGTGGACTTATGAAAGGCTGTAACGATGATTATGATGAAACATCCCGTAGCTTGTAACATACATACTCAACATGTTTACTTCAATGGAATCTTTCGACCACAATCAGGCCTAGGTATTTATAATTGTTAACTTGTTCTAGAGGAGTACAATGACAGTTAATATTTAATTTCGTCGATCTATGAAGGCAGTCATGGTTGTGTGCGAGTATTTTTATTGGTATTTCGTTTTTATTAGAGTGTGTTGAGCGTACATGTATAATTTTACGAGTAGTTTTCATTGTATTTAATACAAGTCCTGTATCATGTGACCACATACATAGGTTAGTAAAATCGAGTTGTAACATTTTTTGTGCTCCTTTAATGTCTTTATTAGCTATTACTAGGCAAGTATCGTCGGCATATTGATACACTGAACTATGTTTAATCATATTCGCCATGTCATTTACAAAGGCCAGATAGTGTAAAGGGCCAAGAACCGATCCCTGGGCTGTTCCTGTAGTGACAGGTATGTCATCACTGTATTCGTTTTCAATTCTCACCCGTTAGTTTCTACTTTTGAGGTAATCTTCACACCACCTGAGAAAAGGCCCACGAACGCTCGTATTATCTAGTTTTTTTTTTAGTAATAAATCGTGTCCTACTGAAGTCAATAAATAAAAGAATTACGTGTTGCTTGTTGTCCAAATAATTGTTAATTTCATCGGTAAAT